CGGCGGCGTGGGGGATCGGACCTTGACCCGACAAGATTCATAAACCGACAAGATTCATCGACTTGGCCTGACGAAAGACCCAACCATATGCAGGTGTGAGTACCGCAAGTGTGATTCACTTGTTCGGTGGAGATCCCTATGAGGCAACGAACCGTGCTAGGGGTGCGCCGACATGAATGGCGTGGTACACAACGCGAACGAAAACGATTGATCTGAGTACGTAGGGAGAGTGGGCGCGAGTGAATCTGAGCGCGAGTGCGTCTGACTGTGAATGAATCTGCGTACGAGCGAGTCTACGTGCATGAATGCGAATAAGACAAAGCACGGTGTTATTGTACATGAATGTCAACAATTTAAGAAAGACTGCCTCTGAGTACTCGTGACGCTGGGCGTGGCCGCCGCAAGGAGTTTCCCCGGGACTCCCCGACGGCATCGCCCGCGCGACGCGACGCCAATGTCGGCGCGCCCCCCCGCGAGGATCGCGCCCGCCTCCTCCCCTTCTTTTACTCCCCCTATGCCCGCGCACTCAAAAGTCCAAGGCTGCGGGCGCAGCGCAGCGCGGAGTCCCCGCGACGCGCGCAGGTCGCCCCGGAAGGGTCCCAGCGACGCGCGCGGGTCGTCCGCTGCGAGGAGCAAAGAGAGCTAGCTGGCTTGCTGATAGCGGGCAAGGCTCTTGCCGCTGGCCAGAGCGACGACGGGCGAGCGAGGCGCGGAATTCCGACGGCCTCCGACGGAGGTGTACTGGGTGGGGGAAGACGCATGCGGACTGCGCCACGGGGACCTTCGGTGGAGCTCCCTATGCGGCCACGACACGCTGTACTGGGTGGGGGAGACGCAGGCGGACTGCGCCACGGGGACCTTCGGTGGGGCTCCAAATGGGGCCACGACACGCTGTACTGGGTGGGGGAAACGCATGCGAACTGCGCCACGGGGACCTTCGGTGGGGCTCCACATGGGGCCACGAAACGCTGTACTGGGTGAGGGAGACGCAGGCGGACTGCGCCACGGGGACCTTCGGTGGGGCTCCCTATAAGGCCACGAAGCGCTGTACTGGGTGGGGGAGACGCATGCGGACTGCGCCACGGAGACCTTCGGTGGCGCTCCCTAGGGGGCCACGAAGCGCTGTACTGGGTGAGGGAGACGCAGGCGAACTGCGCCACGGGAACCTTCGGTGGAGCTCCCTATGCGGCCACGAAGCGCTGTACTGGGTGAGGGAGACGCATGCGAACTGCGCCACGGGGACCTTCGGTGGGGCTCCATATGGGGCCACGAAGCGCTGTACTGGGCGAGGGAGACGCAGGCGAACTGCGCCACGGGGACCTTCGGTGGGGCTCCACATGGGGCCACGAAACGCTGTACTGGGTGGGGAAAACGCATGCGAACTGCGCCACGGGGACCTTCGGTGGGGCTCCAAATGGGGCCACGAAGCGCTGTACTGGGTGGGGGAGACGCATGCGGACTGCGCCACGGGGACCTTCGGTGGAGCCCCTATGGGACCACGAAACGCTGCACTGGGGGGTGATGATGCTGATGCTGATGATGATGACGACGATGATGACGATGATGATGATGGTGATGATGATGATGATGATGATGATGATGATGATGATGATGATGATGATGATGATGATGACGATGCTGACAATAATGATGATGAGAGGAGGGGAGGAGGGGGGAGGAGAAGAAGGAAGATGAGGAAACGCGGGGACCGTCTCTTCAAAACGAGAACCCAACAACACAGAGTTGGTTGGGAAAAATACGGGTGCCTTGGGGCCGGGGAAGTTTGGGGTGAACCGCGAAACCCTGGGTAGCAGCCCAAGAATTGCAGGGAATACCGTGGTGCGCGGCTTGTTTCACTTTGGGCGTACTCTTGTACTTTGCTTCGCTGCTCTTCGCAACGCGGTGCTCCAGCATTGAGGAAATAGTCCGAGCAGGTCCTTCCTTTCCTCCTCCTCCTCCTCGTCCTCCTCCTCGACCTCCTCCTCCTCCTCCTCGTCCTCCTTCTCCTCCATTCCTTGTCGCACCCCGAGGCCGGTCGAAAGGGCGGGCTGGGCGTTTCGCCTGAGACTTCCTCACCACGTATGACCCTGAAGCTTAAAATTGGAAACAGCTTCACAAATGGAGGGCGAGTGGTTTTCAAAATGTGGCTCTCGCCTCAGCGCCGCGCACATTCCTTGTGAAAACTTGCAAGAGCTTCACGGACTAAAGGCGGGCGGTTTTCAAAATGTGGTTTTCGCTTTGGCGCCGTGCACACGTTGTAAACATTTGCAAGGGCTTCACGGATCGAGGGCGGGTGATGTTCAAAATGTGGCTCTCGCTTGAGCGCCGCACACACTCGTTGCAACAACTTGCAAGAGCTTCACGGACTGAGGGCGGGCGGTTTGCAAAATGTGGCTTTCGCTTTAGCGCCGCGCACAGTCGTTTTAAACATGCAAAGAGATTCCACGGATCCCCATGGTCAACATACTTGAATCTGTGTTTTGGAAGGACTCAGGACTGTGAGGGCGCAACAATTACGTTGATTTGCGGTGTTGAAGTCCCAGGCATGGTGTTCTGACACGACTCAAGAACGTCAAGACGCAACAGTCAGGTTGATCCGTCGCGCTGGAGCCCCGAGAATGATGTTTTGGGCGTGCTTCAGGGTCTTCAAACAGCTGTTTCCCAACGAGGCAGTTTCCTGTGGTAGTGAACCCTTGTAGGGGCCCATGAAGAGGGACCTTGAAGGGATGGTTTCTTCCAACATCGTTGAATAGTCTTGGGTTTACTCTGATCCTCCTCCTCCTCCTCCTCCTCCTCCTCCTCCTCCTCCTCCTCCTCTTCCTGGCCGCATGTCTCTGCTGCGCGCCCAGAACTCTTTGATCGGGAGACGGCGCACTCCCTCACAATCCCTCACACGGGACGGTTCCCCCGAGAGCGACACGCAAGAAGCGACCGCTCCCCGGGGGATCTCGAGGGATATCGACTGTGCATGCACGGGTGCGCCACGTGGACTGCGAGCACCGCCCCCCAGCCCACCAGGCAGCCGCCTCCCGGGAGCCGCCGCAGGCCCGCCGCGGCAGGACCCCGCAGAAGGCCCGGCGCCGCCGGCCCGCGCACCGCGCCCGCGCCAGAGCGGCAGCAGCAACGGCAGCTGCTGCGCAAAGGCGGCCACTGCCTCAGCCTCAGCCTGCCTTGCGTGCTGGCTCCGCCGCGACACGCTGCCCAGCCTCCCAGTACGCCTGCACCCAAAGCTGCCGCAAGCAGGGCGAGCGTTGGCGCAATGCGACTAGCCGCTGCATTCGCTTCGTCATTGGCGGCGCCGTCTTGTTGGTGTAGCTCCTCCTCGTCGGGCACCGTGTGGGTGGCGGTTTGAGTGTGGGTGGGTGTGCGTGTGCGTGTGCGTGTGCGTGTGCGTGTGCGCGTGCGCGTGCGCGTGCGCGTGCGCGTGCGCGTGCGCGTGCGCGTGCGCGTGCGCGTGCGCGTGCGCGTGCGCGTGTGCGTGTGCGTGCGCGTGTGCGTGTGCGTGCGTGCGTGTGTGCGTGTTTGCGTGTTTGCGTGTGTGCGTGTGTGCGTGTGCGTGTGTGCTGGTGTGCGTGTGTGCGTGTGTGGATGTGTGGGTGTGTGGGTGTGTGAGAGTAGGTGTGTGTGTGTGGGTCGGTATGTGGGTGTGTGTGTGTGTGTGTGCCAGGGGGGATGTGTGGGTGTGGGAGAGGGTATGGGTGTGAGTGTGGGTGTGGGTGTGGGAATGGGTGTGGGTGTGGGTGTGGGTCTGTGGGTGTGGGTGTGGATGCGGGTGTGGATGTGGGCGAGGGTGTACGGGTGTGGATGTGGGTGTGGGTGTGGGCGTGGGTGTGGGCGTCTTTGCGCGTCGGTCCCTCTGGCACACCGCGTCGTGCAGCAAGCAAAAAAGCATGGTAAGGTCGTCGCCCCCCCCCAGCTCCAAAGACGCGAGACAACAAACTCTTAGTGGGCACGGAAAGAATATTCTCAATCGAGTCGAAGTCTGCACACAGCGCACGGATAGTCAGCGATTGAAGACCAAGCGTGCCCGCTCACTTCCAGCACCTATCGCGTGGCAAGCGCTGTTCCCCAACTGCGTACGCCTGCCTGGAGGGCTCAACTTGTCTACTTCGGAGTTCCTTTACCACAAAGGCCCTGGAAAGGATCCCTTCCGTGTCCCTCCCGTGTCCCTCCCGTGTGCCCGCTCGCGTCCAGCAGCCATCGCGCGGCCAGCGGTGTTTTCAGGAAGCTCACCACAAGGTTGTCCGATCGCGCCTTGTGCACATGGCGCTGCCAGCGTGGTTGCCAGAAGCTCACCAGCAAGCTCACCCCAGGTGTGCCCGCTCGCGGCTGGCTTCGCTGCCAGGAAGCCAGCCATGAAAGTCACTGCAAGCGTGCACGCCCGCGTCCGGCTTGGGCCTGCCTCGTGAGAGAGCCCTCTCACCACAAATGCCTGGGTTGGAATCACTCCCGTGTCCCTCTCGTGGATCTTGCGTGCCCCTCATGTGAGTGTCCGCCTGCTCCTGGTGCGCATCGCGTGGCTAGCGTCTGGTCGAGAAGCTCACTGCGAGCGCGCCCGCTCGCGTGCGGCAGCCTTTGCGTGGCCAGGGGCGCTGCCGGGAAACAGGCCAGGAAGCTCACACCAAGCGTGCCCGCTCGCTTCTGGTGCACATCGCGTGGCTCAGGAAGCTCACTCCGAGCGTGCCCGTTCGCGCCCGCTGCACACCTCGTGGCCAACGGTGCTTCTAGGAAGATCACTCCGAGCGTGCCTTCTCGCGCGTGGCGCCTCAAGACTTACCTCTAACGGCAAGCTTCCTCTGATGTGTCGGTCCTCATGCCAGCTCGGAGCATGTAGATTCACCTCAGGCTATGCCTGCAAATGGGCACGCTAGGACCATCATGGCGCAGGCACCATCGGCGCGCTCGCTCGCCGCATGCTAGGTCTCCCTCCACCGCTCCTGCCTGCGCCGCCCCCTCCTCCGCCACCCTCACTCCCGGCTGATGACTGCCAACCAACTGGCCTGGCGAAGAGCTCCACACTGCCCAAGTGGTGGCAACCTGCCCTGCGTGACTTGGCAGCAGCTGCGGCGGGCTGCAGGCGCGACCCTCGCCTCGCTGGCCGGGGCGTGCGTTGGCGGAGTGGACGGGTTCCGCTGAATCCACGCTGAACACCGTCGGCAGAATCGTCTCGATGAGAGTTTGGGCCTCGTCTACGAAACCACCACCGAGAAGCAACTCTGTCGAGGGTGGTCAGCGCTGGCAGGGGTCAGGACAAGTTAACTGGGAGAGACGTGGAAATCACTCAACAACAGAGAGAACCCCAAATGTGTTTGACAAGTGTGGGTTTCCCAGGCCGATGCTTCCAATAGGACCTCGGAGCCAGAGAAGCCAAACCAGCCCCAAAAGACCTCTTACGAAGCCCCCCAGACGGCCAAGGACACCCCCCCCCCCCACCCTCCCTAGGGGCGCAGGACAGCCCACAAGGGCCCCAACATGGCCGAAGCGGGCCTCACAAGGTCACCAAGGCTCAAGACAGCCGCAAGAGGCTCCACAGGCAGCCAAGAGGGGACCCAGACGGCACCAAGACGGCCTAGCGGGAGCCCGAGACGGCCCATGGAGGCCCCATGAGAGAATCTCAAAGGATAGAGACGAGAGACGTCACATGTTACGCTCCACGAGATCATGGTCGAAGCATCCCCACGCAGAGTGATGTGCTGACACGGTGGCGAAACTTGTCCCAGATAGCTGGACACATCAGTACCTATTCTCAGAAATCCAATAACGTCTTCTGTTCCAACAAATCTTGCATGCTAGAGCAGTGTTCCGTCTTACGACGCAGGAACTACGCATCCCACCAGAACAGGCTAGACCATAAAGACAAAGCCAGGCAAAATGAGAAACGCGAGAAAGACAGAAGTGGGGAAGAGGTATGTCAACGTAGGTGAGAATTTCCTCCTGCGCGTCCTCGTGTTCATTCTCCCATTCTCCCCCCCGTCCACTCCTGTTCCCCCTCCAATATTTTCCATCCCCTTCATTCATTTCCTCCTCATCCCCCTCCTCCTCCTCCTCCTCCTCCTCCTCCTCCTCCTCCTCCTCCTCCTACTCCTACTCCTCTGAATTCCGTATTCCAAGTCCGAGGCCTCTGGGGGCGCGACCTCTACGAGATCAACCAATGCGGGTAGTGCAAAGATGGCCTGGTGCTGGACACGTACACATGATGCGATCTCCGATATTGCTAATCTAGCCAGCGAATTTCTGAGCAAATCCAAATTCTTGACCGCCAGGGGCCCGACCATTGCAAGTGCAAGCTGCTCCACTACAGGTTCAGCCGTCCGCGGCCATCTAGAGTTCAAGTGTTATAAGGTACGCCCACTCACAGCTATCCCCCATTCTTCCTACCTCCCTCCCTCCGTCCCTGCCTTACGTCCCTCCTTCTTCACATTCCCACTGCGCCTCCTCCTCTTTGGTGCTGCACTTCTAGCGTGACCCAGCCCCCGACCACTGGGCGTCCACCATTGCCTGTTGAATCAGTGCCAGCAGCAGCATTTGCATCGTTCAAGGCGGCCGCGCACGAGGCCGCGAGGCGCGGCCGCATTTCGCAAATGCGCGTGCCGCCACCAACGCAGCTCACCAGAGCGGCGCCACCAGCAAGGCCCAGACGGCCAAGGCAGAAACGACTCTGGCATTGATGGCGTCGGCCATGATGCGAGCGTCCACATGGGCCCGACTGTCCTTGCCACACTGCGACGAGCGGAACACACCAGTGGAGGCAAATGAACAGCACAGGCGCTACTGTACGATCTTACATGCGCCCTTTGCACATCGGCAGCCCCCCTTCAACCCTCCCCACTCATCCCGTCCTCCCAGCCTGTGCCTCCCCCCCCCCTGTCCCTCCTCCTCCTCCTCCTCCTCCTCCTCCTGAGTTCTTTTTCCTGGTCAATGACGTACCCCTGTCGCACCCCCAGACGTGTCGGGTAGAGCGGTCCCGGCGTTTCGCCTGAGACCCCCCCACCACGTATGAATATGAAGCTTGATATATGTACCAGCCTCACGGATGGAGGGCGGGTCCTGGTCAAATGTGGTTCTCGCCTTAGCGCTGCGCATGTTCGTCTTAATCGTTGCGCTACAGCTTCAAGGATGGAGGGCGTGACCATTTTCACAGTGTGACTGTCGCCTCAGCGCCGCGCACATTCGTCTCAAAAGTTCGCTACACTTTCAAGGATGGAGGGCGGATCCTTTTCACAATGCAGTTCTTGTATTAGTGCCGCGCTCATGTGTCTGAGAAGTGTGCGACAGTTTCAAGGATGAAGCGCAGGTACGTTTAAAAGTGTGCCTCTCTCCTGAGCGCCTCGCACATCCGTCTTAAACAATGTGCTGCAGCTTCAAGGATGGAGGGCGGGTGGCTTTCAAAAGATTTCCATCGCCCTAGCGCCCAGCAGATTTGCTTTAAGAGTATGCTTCAGCTTCAAGGATGAGGGACAGTGCTTTCTTCAATGTGGCTCTCGCCTCAGCGCCGCGCCTTTTCGTCTAAAAGTTCGCAACAGCTTCAGAAATGGAGAGCGGGTGGCTTCCAAAATGTTGCCCTCGCCTGAGCGCCGCGCTCATTCGTCTTAAAAGTGTGATGCAGCTTCACGGATGGAAGGCGGTTATGTTCCAAAATGTGCTTTGCAATTGCTTCAAGAATTCGAAAGTTTGAACTCCCATGACTGGTGTGCGGGCACGATTAAGGAATGTCAGGACGCAACAGTCGCATTGATTCGTGGTGTCACAGGACTGCTGTTCTGGCGCAGTGTTAAATTACCAAGACGCAACAGTCACTTTGGCTCGCGGCGTTGAAGTCTCAGGGATCATGTTTTGGCACGATGAAGAATTATCAAACGGTTGTCCGCTAATGGGGCACTTCCCGTAATGGAAAAATCTGGGACCTATAGAGAGGGAACTTGGAGGGAGGGTGTACTGCAACATCGTTGGAGCGTCTTGGGATTGCACTGGTCCTCTTCATCGTCTCTTTTTCGTCCTCGTCCTCGTCCTCGTCCTCCTTCTTCTCCTCCTCCTCCTCCTCCTCCTCCTCCTCCTCCTCCTCCTCCCCGCTCTGCCTCCTTCCTTTCCTCTCTCAACTGTCCCCCTCCGTTCTCTGCACACCCTGTTTGTTCCCTGCGCCCCTGCCTCCCCCCCCGCCCCCGCCTTTGCCCTCCTCCGCCCCCCCCCGTCGGCCTTCCGCCCCCGCCCCCACCTCCTGCGCATGCCCTCCCCCCCATCCGCCTCGCTTTCCTGCTCCTGTCCCTCCCTGACGCGCGGCCGCCGGAGTCCTCCTTCAGCACTGGCTGCAGCGTGGCGGCCTCCAGCAGCCGGGTCGGCGGCCACGCATGGGTCATCCCCGCGGGCGGCGACGGCCCCGCCCCGGAGGCAAAGCCTCGCCGCTGGCCCAGGCCAGGAGCCAGAGCGCGACCGCCCGAGATCCCCTGGAATCGCACAGCTCAACACAACACATTTAGCAAAAGCAGCTGCAGCAGATGTGCCAAGCGTGATGCGGACAGCCGTGATGCGGACGCCCCGGCTGGGGCTGTTGGCGGGACCCACTATTGGGCACTCAACATGTGAGGGGCTTGCCAGATCGAGGCGGGACAGGCACTTTTAGATCGAACCTCACGTAGAAAGTCAAGGCTCAAAGCCGTGACATCCTATAGCGGCTGCTTGCACTAGTTGCAATCGTAGAGGCGTTCTACTTCGCGTCGGCGAACAAACCGAACGGGAGAGCACCGTCGTCTTACACAGCAGAGCGGCCAGGAAACGAGAAAGTTGTAGGCAAACGCTTTCACGTTACAGCATTGCCACATCTTTCAAACGTGCCTCGAGCGTTCGGAAAGTTCGTCGCCGGGCTCCCCAAAATGTTCGCCCCCCAGTGACAATGAAATAACCGAGATATCTGCCACAGTTGGAAAGGTTGAAGATTCAAGCCTCAAAGCCATGCTGGCCAATATCATCGTCTTCGCACGTCGGCACCCCATCGTCACAGGGGGAAGCACGCGCGCTTAGACAAACGAAAGACACTCGCGGTTGGCGAATCAAAAGGCCAAACAGACATGCAATTGACAATGTTGTAGGCACTGTGGTGGCGCATGCACTTGCGCCCGCTGAGAACGTATGTGGAGTTCCCTGTGGATGCGGGGGGCCAGCAGCACGATCCGCGTGACAAGTGCCGACATGGTCGCGGGCCCAAATGCGCCTGCAACCACTGAATCCGCACGTGGGGGTCCCTGTGGGACTCGATCTGAGTGAGGTATGTGCCGAGATGGGCGCGGACCCACATGCGTGCGTGCCCACTGAGGGCGTACGTGGAGCTCTCTGTGGGACACAATCCGCGTGAAACCGACACGGGCGCGGTGCCCGCAAAATTCTGCGGTTACTGTTGCCGTAGATGAATTTCCCTGTGGGGCACGATGCGCGTCATGGATGCGCCGACATGGGCGCGGACCCGCATGCATCAGCGCCCCCTGAAACCGCCCGTGGGTGTCCCTTTGGGGACCCGATCACCGTGACGGGTATGCCGAAATGGGCGCGGGCCCGCATGTTTCTGCGGCCACTGCGGCCGAAGATGGGGCCCCTCTGCGGGCCACGATGCGCGTGCGCTGTGTGCCGAAAGAGGCACGGGCCCGCAAAACCAGCCTCGAACGTATTCCTACTCGTGAGATCAGCAAGCCCAAGTCGATGACAATCTTAGGGCTGCGCCGTCAGAAACGGAGGGACTCCTTCAGATCGGCACCGACGTAGGGTGATGCCAAGCATAAGCGCTGCAGCTCACTGGGATTCCAGGTAGATTTCCCAGGGAAACGCGATCTGAGCAAAGGTGTGCCGACAGGGGCGCGGGCCCGCTGCACACCGAGATCGTGACATGGAGTTCCCTGCATGGCACGATCCGCGCGAAGAGCGTGTTGGCATGGGCGGGGGCAGCAAAAGGAAGAGGGATGGCGAAGAGGGGGAGGACGGGGACGGGGAAAGGGAAGAGAGGGAGGGGGAGCAGCAGCAGGAGGACGCGGGAGAAAGGGGCCAGCATCGAGATGGAGAAGCGGGGGAGAGGGAGGCGGAGGAAGAGGGGCGAACGAAGCCAATGGGGGCCCCGACCCGATCATAGCCGCGCCGCGGCTGCGCGCCGCCAATGGGGTCGGGAGTTAGCGCCTGCGCGCGGCAGGCGGCGGCAACCGCCTCGTTTTGCTTGGCGTTGGAGAGGGGCAAAAACCGTCATTCGTGCGGTGGTGTATCCGCGTGGCGACCCCATCCTCGCCACTGCGCAGGGGATCCCGTTCTCGCCTCCGAATTCGGCGGAGGTCGGCGGGAGGCCACTGCGAAGCAGCAGCTCGGCACTCAGCTGGCCGCCCGGGAGGCTCAGCTGGTGCCACAGGCGGGGGCAGCCCATGCAGTTAGAAAACCGAGCGCCTGCTTCCGACGGGTTCGTGGCTCAAACACCCAAAGGGCCCCGAAAATCATCCGAACACACTATCAATGTCATTGTTGCCGGTGTAACAAAAACGTGTGGGGGGGAAAAAAGTCGGGGCAACATTTTTTATTTGTTTATATATATATATTTATTAAAAACTATGCGGCGGCAGCACGTCATCCATAAAACTGAAAAATCCGATTACCCTCCTCCTCCTCCTCCTCCTCATCATCATCCTCCTCCTCCTCCTCCTCCTCCTCCTCCTCCTCCTCCTCTTCCTCCTCCTCCTCCTCCTCCTCCTCCTCCCCCTCCTCCTCACCTGATCCTGTCGACCCCCCGCAGTGCTCCTGGCGCTGTTTTTGCTGCTGGTGATGTCCCTGCTCCTGGCGCTGGGGCTGCTGCTGTTCCTGTTGCTGTTGCTGTTGTTGTGCCGAAGCAGACGTCGTTGCTGCTGACGCTGTTACTGGTCCTTTCCTGGACCTCACACTTCTTCTCGGTTGCTGCTGCTCCTCCTCATTCCCCGTTGCTGATGCTGCCTCCCCCCTCCCCTCCCTCATTATCCTGATCCTCTTCGTCGACCCCTTTCCTGCTCGTGCAAATCATATTGTTAATCCTCTTCGCCCGTCGCCATCACGATCCGTTTCTCACGTTGTTACTAATGGTCCTACTCGCCCTCCTTCCTCCGACGACCGACCCAGGAGGGAGGACGAGGAGGAGGAGGAGGAGGAGGAGGAGCGAGCGAGCGGCCTCGGAAGGTGTCGGGGGGGCGGCGGCGGCGGCGGTGGCGGCGGGCCACAGCAGTGAGAACACGGACGGGCCTCCACGCCGCGCTGCCCAGCGGAGGCGAGCTCGCGCGACTGCGTGTAGCTCGGCAACGGATCTCCGTCGCTCACGACATGCGCAAATCAGGGTATAGGCTAGATCATGAAGGAGACCGACGGAGAGCAGGGCAGGGGCAGGGAGGGGACCAAGGGGGAAAATGAGGATCCGATGCACCGCCGAAGCATCCTGAAAACCCTCGGGGAGCGACGGGAGTATTCGGAAAATATCCTGCAGGACGGGGCAACTATAATAATGCTGTATGTCATCTCCCCCCACGGCAGATTTACACCACCTGCAACATAAAGTGGCCTCTCGAAACCTGCGAGAGGTGTACCAGTTATTACACAGGGCACGGACCGACGCAACGACAACGCGCTGGGGAGCGATCTGACCAAGGCGCCCCAGGCACATCATACAAACATCTACTTCTGGGGCCGTGGGGGGGAGGCGGGCGAAATATTGGATACGTTTGCTAATCGTACACCGCGCGGCGAGGGGGCGGTCAGAGCTCAGTAGGCGACCAATGTTTCTTTGCAGCGGGGGCGTCCGAGGCGGCAGCCGAGTGAGAGCAGTGACCGCGTCGTAGTTTTCGACCAGGGCCATGATGGAGCATGTCTTGATGGGGGGTGCCTTTTCCAAAGGATAACACATTCATCGGATTCGGCGAATTCTTCGAGCTCACGTCGGATGGCGAAGAACGAGGACGAATACTGAGCGAGACGAAACATCGCAGCACGGCACATACATTCGAGATCACGCATCTGCACTCTGGCCCCCACGGAGGTGAGGTCTTGCAACAGCACAGTCGTGATGGCGTTTCTCGGCGCGTTGGTGAGAGCCTGTCCAGCCTCGGGTAGACGGCCCAGAGCGAATTTGGCGGGCAGGAAGAATTGCCCGATGAACGTGAGGCAGGAGAATCCATACACATTAAAGCTGGCTATGATCCTGATGAGTCCCAGAAACAAGCTCTTGACACTTGTGGTCCTCCCCTCCATCTTCCGCACAGGTCCTTCCCAGCTCAACGACTTAGCTTCCCACCCAAGAACCACCCCAAGATATCGGGCCGCAGTAGCGAGAGTGAATTTATCCCTGCGGATGCCAATCTCGCGGAGCCTATTCGTAAACTCAGCGATCGAGGGCCGGCTGTAAACCACGATAACCGTCGTCTTGAGATGCAAAATAAGTCCTGCCGCGCCTGCAGCAACAACCCAAACCTAGAGAGACAGCGAGAGGGCCTGAGAAATGTCCCCTGGAGACGATCCCGGCGTCGTCGGCGAAGGCCCTCACGAGGCCGAGGTGCGAAGGGGGTTTGCAGCACGTGAGCCTGGGGATCGGGCCCATGGCCAACGCAAAACTTGATCCAGAAAGCGGACACCCTTGTGTGATTCACCGCCCCTGCCAGTAAAAGTGCCCACGCGCAGGTACAGGGCCGCCACGGCCGCGCGGATGTGGGAGGGGACATTCATGACGAGGCGGATCCAGGAGATCGCGCTGCGGAGGAAGGAGGCTGGGAAAGGCGGCCTTCACGTCGAAGGCGACAAAGCCGGTATCACGATACAAATGCTGGCAGTACCAGTGGAGCGCTTGTGCCTCGATGTCTAGGATATTGTTAGTCATGCCCCTGCCCTTAATGAAACCCTTCTGGACGTCGAGGCAAGTTTGCTCACACATCAGGCCCATCGGAACGTTGATCGCCGCGGAGACGATCTTATTGCAGGTGCTGCTGAGGGGGATGGGCCTAGTGCTTTCAGCCGCTCGAAAGATGCCAGTGCCCAGAGCGTCCGAAGCTTCTTCGCCTTTTGCCAGAAACACAGCCATTCCGCGGTTGAAATCGCCCCCAGGAAGTTCGCCTTTCAGAACCAGAGAGTAAACCTCGAAGATAATATTGGTGACCAATGGGCCTCCGCGGGCCCAGCAAGAGCACGGGATCCCATCGGGCCCAGGGGCGCTGTCGTACATGTTAGAGACGAGGTGGTGGACCTCGGGGAGCTCTAGAGTCCAATGGATGCCTGGCGGACACTGCTGAACATGCGGCCTCAGAAGCTCGCGAACATGACTGGCCCCAGAGAACCCTTTTGTGAACTTGCCCCCAGTGCTGTGCAAGAGCGAGCCCAACTTCATCAGGGTAGTGTAAATGCTGCCCCGTAGGGTCCACGACGCCAGTC